CTGAGTACTTACAATAGACTTGACACATTTTAGGTATTAATGGATTTAGATGACTAAGAAAGTATAAACAATTCATCCGCAAGTCCTTCCACAAAAAGAATTTCTGAAAAGAGGATTTTATAAAACCCTCTTCAGTTACAGAAAGTTTTCACACGTCATAGTTCCTACCTTCTCCTAATTCTGTAGTCTCTAATTTTCCTAATTTAACCTACATTTTAAAGGGGAAATAGATGGGCAATGTTGACAAAAGTTCTCTCTTCATGAGCCAATCACAAATCTCCAACCACCTAATCAGTTACCCCCAGTCCTCTAAATCACCTATCAGAGTGACTCAAAGGCCTCCAGATCCCCGAATTAGAGCATCTCATAGACCTCCAAACCACCCAATCAGACCTCCAAACCACCTCCAAATTACCCAATTAGAGTGGCACAAAGACATCGAAAATACCTAATCAGACAGAGATAAAGACATCCAAACCATCTAATTAGAGAAACCCACATACCTCCAAATCATCCAACCAGAGTGGATATGGTTGGTTCCTTTGTTCCTGTCTTTTTTTTCTTTCTACCATTTAAGATGGCATTGCAGTGATCTATGTCAGCACGTGGAAAACTATGTATAGCCAGAGGACAAATTTAGTTCACCATGGTATATATAAAATATTATTATAACACAGCCATGCTAATTGATTACCTATTACAGTCAAAACAAGAGAATGGAGTAGTTGTAACAGAAACTATGTGCTGTAAATAAGTTGTAAATCATTATATCTAGACTCTTACCCTTTGCCATCAATCTGAGTGTTGTGTCTTTCTCCCACTCCTGGGACATGAAGACATACCTTGTTTACTACCCTGTTCATGATACCCATGCCAGACACTTGGTAGGTGCAGAATATCTGCAGGTTATGAAGAACTTGCAGACTTCATAAGAGAAAAATGTATTAACTCGTATTCAAAGCTCTCAACTCAGCCACACATCTGGAACCACTGCTTCTGGGCATGTGTGTAATGAACTCATGCTGAGAAATTTGTAAATGGCTGGAGAATACTCCAGAAAGGATTTTTGGCACAAGGTACAGTTTTAATATAAATGCCACAGGCTCACTGTGGGGCTTAGAGGGGGCAGAGCAGCACATTTTTTTATAGCCCTGTTATGCTAAGCAAAAAGCATGCTAAATCACCAGGCCAACTGGGACTGTGAAATCTGGGCGACATCTGGAGAATAAGAACTTGGAGTAAGAAATGTCTGAAAACTTGTTGATAAGGAACACCACTCTGTTTTTTGTTAACTTATTTGGTCTTGTCAACTGATATTACCCAGAGATTAAAAAAAAATCACTACTGTCAAAAGGCATAAAAAATACCATTTTCTAGAATTCTTTTTTTTTTTTTTTTTAGTTTCTGTGAGTAGTAAGCAAATCTATTTTGTATAAATTTCTCACCAACGCAACTCCTTATTAACAAGTAGAAATCACAATCTATTGGAACCAACCAGTTACAGCAACTAAGCAGATGGTTGCAAGAGTGGCCAGTGCCAGTATGTTTCAGCTATTGTTGAAGGCGCAAAGATGGCCTCAGCAGTTCCACTGGCCTCAGTGTTTCCACATGAAAGAACTCCCATATTTAGGGGAAAAGTTGAACTCATGGGGTTGTGATGCCAATGGTATTTTGTGTGTGCATACATGGGAAGAGGCATGAAAAGATAGAGGACAAGCAGTTGGTTCCTTTTCTACCTGTTGGTGCTAGAGATTGAACTCAGGTTGTCAGATGAAACCCAAGTCATTAGTCTTGGCAGCAAGCATGTATACCTGCTGACCCATCTTGTTGGCACTTATGTGTGGAACTTTGATCAGTAGAAGGTCTTGGGTAAGGAGCCACAGTCCTAATGCACACATTCTCCAGCCTAATATGGCTAGCTAACATTTCTTTAATCTCTACACTTAAGGTTTATTCTCTGCAATGCGACCAGACTGAAGGACAATGCCATCTATCCACATATTTTTTAATTCTAGAAATTTCTCTAAAATCTCTGTATGATTTCAAGATAAAGTCAATGTTTTTATGGCAGAGAAAACTCTTTGTGACTCCTGGCCTCATTCCATGTGTATATATCTGGCTCTTATGACCCCTCCACACTGGCCTCTCGTCGCACCTCCTCCTCTGGGCTCTGGGCTCAAAACTGCCCTTCCACAGTCTTGATAGTGTCTGATTATATCTCTATTTTCCTTGTTCTATCTTTTCTGATACTGATAGCTTTTTATACATGACCTTTCCAACTCTGATCGGAGCTTTCTTTTCTGTCCTTTGATAACCATCTACTTTTTTCTTGAGGATCTTTCTAGGCTTTATCTTTGTCCTAATGGCTTTTCTTGATTCTTGAAAAAAGCTCTTCTGGGACACTCACCAGAAATATAACCTCAAGAAATACATCACATAAAAGATTAATGAAGACACAGCTCAGGTTTAACTCTGGGATGTGATGCTGATGTCTCCCCGAAGAAAACATTAACGCCTAAAGTCAATGTGCCAAATACCATTATAAGCACTGCCCCAAGTACTGCCCCAAGTACTGCAACTGTGGGTCTCTAAGATAAATATTAGGATATTCTCCTATGAAATCACTCTCTTATAATACTTCTTAATTTGTATTAAATATCTTGTAATAAAATCAAAATATATTTTGTTATGAAAGTCATTCATTTAAAGAAAGTCAGAACAAGGTAAAGATAAGCCACATGAGGTGACTCACTAATTAGCAATCAGAGAAAGCACCAGAGATTTGAAGAATCATGTGAAGCACAGAAATGGACCACTGACTGCTTAACAAAAAGTATCGAGGCAGCCAAAACTCAGAGACCAGGCCATTGCACACTATATCAGCCCAATGGGAGCTCCTCCAGCGCAATATAGATGTAGCAAGCTCAGGGTGGTCCAAACAGAAGGGATCAATGCTGAAACAGGGTACAGGATACAAGCGGCATATGAGTGGGGTGAATTCAATCTGTGGCAAGTGATTTAACATGAAGCACAGAAAATAGGGAAGTGGGCTGAGATGTAAGGAAGGCACAGCAAGCCTTACACAGAAGCCAGAAAAGCTTAAGTATCAAGCAACTCCAGAACATGGTGCAGGTGCCCACACAGGACAAGCTGTAGTCTAAAGTTTCCAGGAAGAGGAAGAGTCAGGTGGCTTGTTCTGTACAGACTTCTGCACAATTAATTTTATCCCTGGGCTCAGAGGTGTGATACACCTTCTTATTTATGTTTACTGCCCACTATGTAGGAAGGTCATGACATTATTCTCTGCAGCTTCAAGCTTAAACTAGAGAGAAAGCTGGCCCCAAAAAGGGCTTCATTCACTGAAGATCTAGGAGAGTCAGAGGCCTACAAGATGGCCAACTCTTGAATCTCAACACCCACATACTTTGGGCATTTCCTGGTCCCCGGAAAAGAACAGGAAACAGACCTGCTTCTGATTTTGGCAACTTCCATTGAAACACCACCAGGTTCATCATTCTGTCTCTGTGTTTAGACAGAACAGTAAACAAGGAACTGAGATGGGAATACAGTCCTAAAACTTGTCAGGGTACTCCCGGTCTATCATCTTCTCTAGGGGTAATGCAGACAAAGAAGTAAGAACAAAACAGACCCTGAATATTACATAGGGTCCCCCAAGGGGATCCAAGCTCCCCACAAAGAACCAACATGCCACCTACATTACAAACTTTGCATGGAAAATCCTGTTTCTAAGATCATATTATTTGAAAAGTTTTCTTTAAAAGGACTCCCTAAAATAGGAAATGTCCTGACTAAGGTTTCCATATCACATTCTTATTTCTCTAGTTCAATATTCATTTTGTTTAAAAAGACATACACACTCACACATAGGCTTACACACACATGCACACATACACACATACTGTATATGTGTGTACACAATCACATGTACATGGATATAGATAGCCAGGCATATATCCATGCATATGAAATGACAGTCACACATACATGCACACATATGCACATACACACCCATTAGTTAAATGCATGCATACACATACACACACAGGTGCACACAAATGTGCAACATGGACAGCTACACAAACCATGCAAATGCACATGGATGTACTCACACTTATACACACATATGCACACGCACACACACATACGCACATATAGTAATCAAATAGGAATATGTGATAGATGAGATGATGCATTTAACTGTTCTCTCTAGAAATAGGTATTCTCATAACGTAGTTCTGAGATATACCAACCATCTCATGAAAAGAGAAACTAAAAACATTTCTCTAAAAATATGCATTTCTGTGTAAGAAATAAAGCTCTTTCAAGTTTACTGCTCTCTTAGATCATATTCTTTTCTTTAAAAAATACATAAAATGAATCAGTTTTCTAGGCACACTGGCAAACTGAGGACCTCAAACTAGAATATGTTTCTAACCCTGTAAACAATACACTAGTAAGGCCAGGGCACATGTGAGCTGGGGGAGCACGCATCAGAACTATGAATGGTGCTGGAACAGAAATGTGGCAAGTGCCACAAGAACACACGTGTGTTAAACTACAAAAGGTCATTTGCATAAAAGAGTGGAAACTTCCCCAAATAAATGGTAATTCTTATTTCACAAATCTGTTATTTAAATGTTTAACAGAAAAGATTATGACAATATAGTTTACAGAAGCAAGTGTCAGGCTAATATTTCCAAATGATTTCAATAGTAAGGTCTATAAGGATAAGCATCTAAGTGTGGAGGTCTTATTAAGAAGACAAAAACATAGCCAATGTATTGCCTTCCATCTACCCACAGTATACATTTAAAACTTTTACAAATATGGAAAATCAAGGAGAAGTCATGTTTTATATTTTACTGAAATGATACATGACTGTCAACCCTGAATGCCCAGCTCCCCTTGCTTGGTTGGAGGTCAAAGTTCTACAGTGAATGCAAAGGGAAGAGATGCAGTCTAATCAACTAGGTAATTACCTGCAGTGTCTGCTTTGCTTTGGCTGTTGAGACATAGGCACAACTATGAAGACCCTACTGAAACAAGAAGATACAAGGTTCATAAAACACTTGCCATCTCCACTGCCGATGGCGAACGAACGGACAGCACCTAAAATTACAAACTACTCCTTTGTGACAAGAGTAAAGAAAGCTTTTTGTTAGTTACAGTAAGAAGACTATCTGTTTAAATCCTGCAGTGGAGGGATGCTTTATCACACTGGGATCCACAGTGGTTGAGAAGAAAGAGGCACACATCCTCTGGGAATTACACACTGTTGACTCTTGGGGTTTTGAATGGCAAATGTTAGGATGATCCCTTTTCTGGAGTACTGCTGTCTCCTGTTCAAAAACAAAGGAAGCAAATGAGGGAAGAAATTTCCTGCAGGACACCAGATGTAGGTCTCAGTTCTGTGTGGGATACATGACAGCTCAGAAGACTCCTAAAGCAAAAAGTCCTGGAAATCTGTTAAGTGAAGGATCCTGCCATCTTGGTATGACTTTCCTACCCCACCAGGTAAGACTTTATATCTTTGACAAGGCTCCACACCTGAAAGCTGTGTGTGTAAGCAGTCTTACCTTACAATCACACCATTCTGTTGTAATAAAAAGTGTATTTTGAAACAGTCCAAGATCATAAGGGCTACAAGGAGACATCTGTTCTATCTGAAGGGCAATTCGGTAAAGAGTTCAATGGGAGTGGGAGTTGAAGTTTGCAGTCCAGACTTTCTGCATAAACACAGTGTGGGTGGACAGCTGAGTCATCTCTGGGAAATGAGGGTTTCTTTTTCTACGACTGTGTATAAGTGTAGCTGTAATTCTATTGGTTGGTTATTTGTCAAGGTCATCTTCCCTTTTATCCTTAGAGTTTCCATCTTCAGTCTTCCCTCAGTGGAAATAAGCACCTATATTACTCAGCAGATCCACCAGTGTTTGGCACCAGGCTCTGAAGAGCCTATTCATATCTTTGGAGCTAAAATGTCCTTGAAATTCAGGCTCCTATGGAGTGCTACCTGAAGAATTATTCTGTTGTTATTAAGACTCTGAAAAAATATATACAAGATGAATGTGATGCCTGAGTGTAGATCTTCTTTAGCTGCAAGCTGTGAGCAGCTGTTATCTAAACATCTGTAAGTGCCGCTTTGCGACATGTACACCTGTATGCAGTACCTTCCTCTGCAAAGCTTGGTCCAGCTTACCCTGAGATCTCAGGACAGGAGCAGTGCTGTCCATCCTTTGTCCTTTCAGGTGGGGAGGCAATGTGCCACTAATAAAACCTATGCCCAAAGAAAGCCTACGTTTCCCGTAATAATCCAAAACTTCACAGTACTAAGAATATTAAAAAAGACTGCCTGGCTGGGTAGCAGCCATGACTGACACATGTGTAGATGGAGATAACCTAGCACATTGTTCTATACAGGTGTTATTGCTGTGGTCTAGGACTTTCTGCAAAGCTTCCAAGACACATATGAAACCTGTTCTGCCCTTTATCTACTTTTCAGTGACGCCTAAGAAAGACTCAATTGTCTCTGCCCTTGATAGTCTATGAGAGTAAATTTTAGGGGGAAAATATGATTAATGTCAACATTCAAAGTGAGAGACAAAAAATGTTAACCAAAATGGCTGCTGGGAAAGAAAAGGAAACATTCAATGAGTTGGTTTTAAAAAAAAAAATCTGAAGAACCTTTTACATGGCTATGTCACAAATACAAGTCTACCTTGAATTCATGGTTCAGTAAATTTTGTTTGTATCACTAACTCTCCTGTGGAATTTCTGTGCTAGAAAACAGCATTTCTGTGGAATTGACAGGGGCTTAGCCAGTGTGCAGCTGCAGGATCATGAGCTGATGGCAGAAGCTCACTTAAAACAGCTCACACCACCAAGGGCGCTGTGTTTAGAAGAGGATTCTTTAATGTAGGGGTCACCATTTAGGGTTTTCTGAGGTGAAAAAGGCAAATATTACTTGCAATTTTTGTTCAATTTTGTAATTTCAGAAATTTTATTTTAAGAAACTACTGATTTATCATAAGGAAAACTGATTGTTAACTGCAACTGTCAATCTGACTGGGTTTAGAATCTCCCAGGAGATATAGCTGTAGGCACATATGTGAGAGCACGTCCAGAGGCTTCACTGAGAAGAGAAGCCCATCTGCATGTGTGCAGCAGTGTCCCACTGTGTGAGAAAGCACACTGAAGGACTGAACAACAGGGAGAAAGGAGACAGCGGCTTGACCTCCAGGATTCATGTCTTTGTGCATCCTGTCTAAAGGCACAGAATGTCTATTGCTCTAGCCACTACGCCTCCTTCACCATGCAGGACTATGCTCTTAAGCTGAAGCCAAAGAAAATCATTCCTTCCTTAAGTTGCTTTGCTCAGTATTTTGTCCCAATGAGAAAAAAATACACTGATATCTATTCAAATTTTTATGCCTTGTTTTTCCCTGAATCTACAGCAGTGGTTCTCAACCTGTGGGGCACTATTTCTTTGGGGGTTGCCTGACCCTTTCACAGGGGAAACCTAAGACCAGCTGAAAATGCAGATATTTGCATTATAATTCATGACAGTAGCAAAATTACAGTTATGAAGTAGCACAAAAAGTAATTTTATGGTTGGGCGCGCTACAACATGAGGAACTGTATTAAAGGGTCGCTGCCTTTGGAAGGTTGAGAACCACTGAATTCCTCGATTATTCCTGCCTCTAACACAGTAAGTGGCAAGAGACTACTTTTTAATACAATGTGCAGGCAAATTTTACCTGGTTACCACCATGTCCTAGTTACAGGCAAGGTTTGAAATATCAATTTGTACAATTAGTGCTAAGAATGTTAGACTGTGCCACTCTGGTGAGCTGTACAGCAAGGCTGGTAACTTAAGGAGAAAAGGCGATTTCTTTTAGCACAAGATAATATGGTGTCACTGAGAAGCAGAAATTAAAATTTTCAAGCATTAGAAGGAAACTAAGAAGTGAAGTGAGCAAGCCCTATGGACATTTGACTTTTTATCTATACAGAAAACAGCACTTAATGAGCGTACTGTTCCTTATTGCCCGTAATACTGCGGCACTGTCCCACATGGCCTGTTGTTATGCACTAACTACAAAGCTCCAAGATGGCTCAGTGTGAATGCAGGTCTTCATGGGTCTGTCTGTGTTCTGTTTTCACAGCCTGAACCCACAGGGGACTACGTGGGATTCATAGAAACGATATTCACACTTCTTTCCCCTACCTCGGGGTAGATGGGTCTCGTCAACAGTTCAAGAGAGCAGAGCCCTGCATTGACCTGCGCCATTGGCTTCAGTCCTCTCCTTTCTCCACAGTTCACATTCAGACCAGCATAGCTGACTTACACCAAAAACTGTTCTTGTTGGGGAGACTGCAAGTAAAAGGCAAATACCAACTTGTGATTTCCCGTTACAATGTAATGCTCATTTTGTTCTAGGTAAATGGCTGAAAATTTTAAAGTATTTTCATCTTAAGGAAAACTTCAAAAAGAAAATTTATTGTGTAGATTTAAAACATATGACGTTCAGGTATTAAAATTTTGTAATATGATTTAAACTGAATTTACTGCTTACTGGCTAGACTACCTCAGCAAGGTCATTTTTAGCTACCAGGGCAATGTATAAACTAATGACCACATTGGCTCTTCTTAAGGAGTGGTGATAGTAACAAAAGGGGGTCATCTGTAAACCAACATCTTTAATAAGTCCTGTCAAAGTAAAGTAACTTCTGCCACCATGGAAGGGTACTGAAACTACTGAAGGAAGGTGGAGAAGCCCTATCACAGTAAGAGAGCCATTGCCACTGTGGAGTGATGTCACACCATGGAGGGATGCTACCATGGAGAGAGGCCACATCCTGGAGGAAGGATGTGCAGGCAGATGCTGATTTCTAAATTTCCCTTTCAGGCATGTGCTTCAGAAGCGCACGTTGTTGAGCTAAAGACTGAGTTTATCCTTATTAATCAGTTCACACTAGCCCTTTCTTCTAGTATACAGAGGTGTAAAAGGCAACATGTCCTCTCTCCCTGAGAGAACTCCTCTGAATGAAAACAGATTAAGACATTTAATCTTTATGGAGCCAAAACCAATATTAAATTAAAATGTACAATTGTTATAAACTGAGAGCATTCCTATTTTTTCATTCAGATGATACACTGGCTTTTGAGGGCTTTCAATCCACAGCAAATACGTTAAAAAGAAAATCATTTTGTTTGTGGAACATATGAAAACTACTCTTTTGGGGTTCTTTGCTTTTATTCATCTTTTGGATTATTTCTTTGGAGTCTTCAAGGAGGTTTGTTTATAAAACTATGTTTTGACAGAACACAGGTAAAGGAATAGCAAACGAGAATGCTAGATATAAAAATATGGGTTAGCTGCTATCAGGTGCCAAGAGTTGCACGGAAATAGTCAAAATGATAGTGATAACCTAAGGGTAGCCTTGCTGTAACAGCCTGAAGACCGATGTGAGAACTGCGTGCCCTGAGTCAGACATTCAGTTTAGACAAAGTCTTTGATACTCAATAGTTGTGTGATCGTCACAAATACCTGGTCATCTGGTAGCTAAGTTCCATATTTTAAAAATGAGGATAACAGTTTCTACCTCAAAAAACTGTGTGCCCTGGAGGGTATGAACCAAGACAAGCATTTAAACAATTAACTAATACACAGAAAGTGGTCCAAGACACTGTGTGTGTGTGTATGTGTGTGTGTGTGTGTGTAAGACTGACAGCAGAGAGGAAACATTTTGTCACAAAATTCTTGAAATTGATTAAAATATCAAATCATTGAACTAAATTATCAACTAATTTTACTTCTAATACATATACATGCATGAATATGCATGTATATATGCCCGCACTCATTACATGTAAATATTCTCATATGCTTTTTTATGCAGAGAGGCTAAAGCAATACAGAAATTGGGAGTACAGAGCATAAGCAAATAAAAAGGTTAAATAATCCTGGGGCAGAAGAGATGGCTCAGCAGTTAAGAGCACATTGCTAAATAGCTGTAGGTGACAAATTGTTAG